TGTGCAGGGGAGGCTGTACCTGTGGGGTTTGTGTTAGGTCCCTGAAAGGAGCTAGAGTGGGAACAAACCCTGGAATGGGCTAGGGGTGATTTGCAGTGGCACTCGGGGCGGGGGGGACATGCCTTTGAAAATGAGAAAGGCCACATCAGAGGCAGAAAGGGAGTAGGCATTCCCTTTCCCATTTGTCAACAAACTGTGGGTTGGAGGAAGGAAAAGAGAGTGGGCATTCCCTTTCCCATGTGTCAACAAACTGTGGGTTGGAGGAAGGAAGATTTATGCCGCAAGATGCCCGTAGTAACAGTACAGCATTAAGCTACTTTTCCAGTGCCTACTTTGGGACTGGTTCAGACATAACACTGTAATGCGTATTCTTTCCGGGCAGTGCCCATCATCCAGGGAACAACCTTGGGCTTAGGGCCGGGATGTCCCGGTTGCCACCCAAAGGCTCCCTCTGGGCCCAGATCGACGCAAGAACGCAAATCCTCCGTGGGACGTCATGACACAGACACACAGCAAAACGTGTGTCACTTTTCCGAGGGAAAACAACAGCAAAGGCTTAATTTGGACCTGGCCTTTACCGAAGGCAGGGATCATCTAACAGCGTCCCACGGCCCTTGGCAGTGATAAGAAGACACAAGCAGCAGGGAAGCGGCAGGGAAACAGTAAACACGACCGCAAGCCACTGGGCACTCAGTTGGCACAGACGCAGGGATGGGACGACACGGGAGGTGGTAGCATGACGCAGGTGAACCAGCTACGAGGGGGACGTTCTTCAGATGACAATGCATTATGGCCCCCACCCAACTCCATTACATTACAGCCTTCATTCAGTATTCGTTTCATCCTGCATTCATTCCGTTCCACAGTCGGTCTGTCTTCATTTTACTCTTCTCTGTTAGTTAAAAAGGTAAAGGTAAAGATTCCCTTGCTCGAAAGCCAGTCGAATCCAACTCTAGGGTTGCGGTGCTCATCTCCGCTTCAAAGCCAAAGAGCCAGCACTGTCTTAAGACGTTTCCGTGGTCATGTGGCCGGCATGACTAAACACCAAGGCGCACGGAATGCTGTTACCTTCCCACCAAAGTGGTACCGGAGTGGTACCTATTTATCTACTTGCAATTTCTTGCTTTCGAACTGCTAGGTTGGTTGCTTCTCCACAAATGAAGCTGCCTGATACTGGATCAAAAGAACAACACTCACCGCGATGAGTAAAACCTTAATGTGTTTTGCCAAACGTTATACATGTATACAGTTCCCTCTGAGCTGAGTTAGTGTGAGCTAGCTCACAGTTTTTCAGCCTCCAGCTCACACATTTTTGTCCCAGCTCAGGAGGGATGGCTCCAGAGCAAACTAATTTATGTAGCAGCCAAATCGCTTGCTCACAACTTGAATGCCAAGAGCTCACAAAGTAGAATTTTTGCTCACAAGACTCCACAGCTTAGAGGGAGCAAAATATATACATTACTTAAACAATTCTACATTTCAGGTTTTTATAGTATTGTTTTTATCCGTTGTAAAAATCACAGTGATTCTTGGAAAAGAGAAAACTGAAACAGGAGGACATCCGTGGCTACCTGTCGGGTCACTGGATGCTTTACGAATAGATTTTGATTGCTATACAGCTGAGGCATGTTCAAGTATCACTTCTCAGAATTTATTGTTAGTGAGAATTCGTTCTCAAGAAGATTGCGTATAATCAAATAGAGTGTCACCACAGTGTATTAGAAAACTGGATTGTGAAGACAACCTATATATATGACGTTCAATTTATTACTATTGAGGATTTTCACTTAGAAAGATTTCAGAAAGTTAGAAAGTTTCAGGAAGATCCTCAAATATATGGTAAAAACCTGAAAAGTAGAATTGTTTAAGTAATGTATGTATTGTATACATGTATAACTTCTGGCGAGATGGTTAGACAGTGTCATAGATGCAACGAACATGAAGTTGAGCAAACTTCAGAGGACAGCGGAAGACCGGAAGGCCTGGCGTGATCTGGTCCATGGGGTTGCGAAGAGTCAGACTCGACTGTGCGACTGAACAACAACAACATAACTTCTGGCAAAATACATTAAGGTTTTACTCATCACGGTGACTGTTGTTCTTTTGCAGTTTAATTCACTGTGAGCCCGGTTTTGTTTATGTTATGTATTGAATCGTCTCTGATTGAATCACCCTAGAGACTGCCTGAGCTTGGAGCACAAGAACAATAGCCGACCAGGATTCTGGAATAAACCAATCAAGTACTAATGTTTTGTAAATAGGTTATCACGGGGAGTGGGTATGTATGAGGTGTGGTGTTTTGCATGCATATAAGCAGGGCTCCGGCCCTGCTAGAGTTGTCTTAGAATTAAGCTGAAATCACGCATAAACGATGAGCTGATCACTATACGCGTCTCGAACCCAGTATATCTCAGTTTATTTTACTGATACTGGGTCAGGACAATGGACCTTGTAGCCCTGGACGCTGACAAGCAGCAGTCTTCCATTACCTCTGTCCGGGAGACCCTTCCTGGACTTCTAAAACTTCTCTGAAGTGGAGATGCTGGGGGAATGAACCTGGGGCCTGCTGTGTGTGCTCTGCTTAGCTACAGCCCTGCCCTAAAATGGGAGAAGAGGCAGCCCAAATATGAGCCGGTCTTACAAGTAGGGTTGCCAAGTATTACCTCGATCCGGAGCGAGGGAGTCCCGGGCTGCTCCCGGAGCGCGCACTCTGCATCCACGTCACACGGAAGTGACGCGATCACGCAGGGCATGCTGGGGGCGGGGCCATGACCATCTGAGGGAAAACCATAGAGTTTTCCCTCAGATGGTTATGGCCCTGCCCCCAGCGTGCCCCGCGTGATCGCGTTACTTCCAGATGACGCGCACGTCGGGGTGGAGTTCCCCCCGGGGCCCGATCCGGCAGAGGTGGGGAACAGGCCGGGGGGACTTGGCAAGCCTACTTACAAGGGACTTCTGCAGGCCGGATCTCCTGCTGCCTTCTACCACCTGCCCTCAGTCCAGTGAGCAGTGGGAGGAAAATGGGGGAGGGAAAGCAACCCTGACAATGCTTTGATGTGACTTCCAGATGAAGACCCCCAGAATGACATCACGACCTCGTGCGACAGGCTAGGAATCCCAACCTCCCAAACTCTGTGGTGGTGGAGGAGTAGGAGATTGGATTTATACCCCGCCCTTCACTACCCAAGGGAGTCTCAGAGCGGCTTACAATCTCCTTTCCCTTCCCCTCCCCACAACGGACACCCTGTGAGGTAGGTGGGGCTGAGAGAGCTCTTGACAGAAACTGCTCGAGAGAGCAGCTCTGAAAGAACTCATGACTGACCCAAAGGTCACACCAGCTGGCTGCAGGTGGAGGAGTGGGGAACCAAACCTGGTTCTCCCAGATTAGAATCCGCGCACTTAACCACAACACCAAACTGACTCCGTAAATACTATACAGTTTGGGGGGGGGTTCCTAACACATTGCAGGGGCTCAGGAATGTTATTTCCAAGTCTTCTCCGGAAGGGACACTTTCTCCTCCCGGACCCCACCCACGAACAGCTCCCTGGGAGCAGGGGCAGGGGCCTGGCACCCTGATCTGGGCATTGTATCGATCTAGTGCCTTTTTACCCCACCCATCCTCCCAGGAGCTCAGGGCGGCAGCCATGTTTTTTCTCTCCCATCTGCCATTTTACTTTCACAACAACCCTGTGGGGTAGGTTAGGCCAAGAGAGAAAGCGATCGATCCAGGGTCTCATGAAGTTGCCAACTCTGGCTTAGGAAATTCCTGAAGATTCTGGGGTGTAGCCTAGGAGGATGGGATTTGGGAAGGGGGCTTCGCTAGGATGTAATGCCCTGGAACTCACCCTCCAAAGCAGCCATCTTCTCCAGGGGAGAACCGATCTCCCTCGTCTGGAGATCAGTTATAATTCCCAGAGATCTCCAGGCCCCAGCACCTGGAGGTTGGCAACTAGGGTTGCCAGATCCAGGTTGGGACATACCTTTTATTTGTTTATTTATTTATTTTGGGCATTTTTACCCCGCCCTCCCCGCGAGTGGGCCCAAGGCGGCTTACAAGGGGCGACAGCCCATGCATAAAATCCAATAAAACAGTAAAATCATGATAATAACAATAATAACATAATAACAATAATAAAGTGCTTCAATAACAAGATGGTCCTGAGTGGTTATGTTGGCATCTTCAGGTCAGCCCCGTTGGGATACCACTGTCCAGTAGATCGTTCATGCGTTGTTAATATCACACAATATATGGCTGAGCTTCCCAGGGCGATCCCAAATCCTGTTGGCGTTGCCACCGTTGGTGGTGGTGGCAGCCCCTATATGAAAGCCTGGAGGAAGAGCTCCGTCTTGCAGGCCCTGCAGAACTGCATAAGGTCCCGCAGGGCCCTGATCTCCTCCGGGAGCTTGTTCCACCAGGTAGGGGCCGCCACTGAGAAGGATCTAGCCCTGGTCGCAGCAAGTTTTACCTCCCGAGGACCTGGAACCACCAGACGGTTTTGGGTCCCCGACCGAAGTGCTCTTGGGGGTATATACCTGAAGATCTGGGGGTGAGGTGGAATCTGGGGAGGGCGGGATTCGAGAAGGGGACGGGCTTCAGCGGGGTACGATGCCGCAGCGTCCGCTTCCCCCAGGAGAACTGATCTCTGTTGCCTGGAGATCAGTTGTAACCCCAGATCTCCAGGCATCACCTGGAGGTTGGCATCCCTACATGGCAACCCATTCTCCTGGCAAGGGGGGGGGTTTCCGGCTCTCCAAATTCCTAATCCAACACCCTGACCGCTATACTACACTGAATCTCCGTAAGTGAGCTCCATTAGAAAACCCGCCTTGTTTCTGGACCTGGCGAGAGCCTGCTTTTCTGCTTTCTATCTCTGCCTGGCTGTCAGGCGTCCCAGCCGTTGTCCGGAATGCAGCTGGATGCCAGATGCCCGCGTCTCGGGCTCCCCAGCTGCTGCTCCTCCGCGGCCACCACTCTGGTGCCCATTATAAAGCGGCTCACCTTGCTGTTTCTGCATGGTGGTGAAATCTTCAAAGGTGAGGGTCCGCACGGGGGGCCTCCAGAAGGCATATGTTTCCATAATGGCCTCCAGGCCGGTTCTGCAAAACGGGACAGAAAAACAAAAGGGGGGGGAGGAGTCAGTGAAGCAGGTAGATCGGCTTTAATAAACGAGAGGATTTCGACTTAATCCTTCTCCCTGTCAGCAAGCAGCGGACGGACGGTTCTTTTGTGTGCAGCCGTTCCTTCCGACACTTGCCCCAAACGTGGCGGTTTTGATCAGCGCCAGCGTTTAAGGATACAATATCAGCACCCCCATACTTTCCCCCCTTTAATATTTTCCTGTTGGCTCCTAAATCATTTGCCCCTTTGTGCAGAGCCATTGTGGTGATGAATTGGCTGCCGCTTCTTTGATCAGAACAGCTTGATCTTTCCAAGCTGTGCAGAAGCGAATCTCCCGTGGGCCTGAACCCAGGGAACCTCCGGAGGGGAGATCAATAAGTGAACTGGAACATACACAGAGAGATACAGAGAGAAAGAAAAGAGGCCTTGCCCATAGTCTTGCCAACTGACAGGTGAAGAAGAAGAACAAGAAGAGGATTTTTTTTATACCCTGCTTTTCTCTAACTTGGGGGCCACTGTGGCTCAGAGGTTAAAACGCTGAGCTGCAGACTGGAAGGTCTGTAGTTCAGCAGTCCGAGACCCTAGCTCCACATGACGGAGCGAGCACCCATCTCCGGCCCCAGCTCCTGCCAACCTAGAAGTTCGAAAGCGAGAAACTGCAAGTAGATGAATAGGTACCACTTCAGTGGGAAGGTAACAGCGTTTCGTGCGCCTCGGCGTTTTGTCATGCCGGCCACGTGACCGCGGAAACATCTTTGGACAGCGCCGGCTCTTCGGCTTGGAAACAGAGATGAGCACCGCCCCCTAGGGTCGGATTCGACTGGCTTTTGAGCAAGGGAAACCTTTACCTTTACCATTCTCTAACGTACGGGGTCTCAAAGCAGCTCACAATTGCCTTCCCTTCCTCTCCCCACAACAGGCACCTCATGAGGCAGGTGGGGCTGAGAGAGTTCTGAGCAGGGCCATAGCCAGTACTGGGGACTTGGGGGCTGTGCCCCCTTTTGCAACCCTAATGCCCCACCCCAATGTTGTCTCTCTCCTCCCAGAGAAGTACCTGGCCTTGTGGGGCTTGTTAAGCTGGGCCGCTGCCATATCAGCCCTTCTTCTGTTGGGGGGAGGGAGCCTGGGGCTACCTGTTAAGTCGCTCGCTTAACAAAGTAGTCGGAGAGTGATTCAGCAAGAACACAACTTTATTCTTCAACTCGAACACAACTCCAACACGGTTCAACATCTGATAGCCAGAACAGCCTTTAAATGGCAGCTGTCCTGCTTTTAAACATTCCCGGCTAATGTAGCCACACCCACTTTACAAATATCAACCTATGAGATTGCAGAGATAAGGTCCAATCACTGACGTTCCCGCTCAGGGAGCTTGCTTGAAGTGATTAGCTTGTTACTTCCTGGGCTAGCAATACTATTGGATGGATATGGATCCTAGCTCAGGACGAAGCTTAACATTACAGTTCAGTTAGACGTTTCACCACATGTCATGCATTCAAGGCAGCTTTGAATACACTACACTACCCCCCCTCCGAAAAGTACCTTTCCTTTTGGGGTCGGCCCAAAGCAGTTCCTGTAACCCCCTTTCCTTTCGCAGAAGGAAGGAGGGTTACATGAATCGTTTTGGGCTGGCGTGGAGCAAAGGAGGGGGAGGAGGGAAGTGGAGGGGAGGGGAGGAGAGGAGAGGGAGAATAGTAGCTACTTACCCACATGAATACGTGGGTCACATGAACACACTAGCAATGCAGGCGCAGTGGGTAAGTAGCAACTACTATCCCTCCCCTGCTTCATTAAAAAACTACTTTCCTTCCCCCCTACTCCCCCCCCCCGATTCCTGGCTACAGGGCTGGTTCTGAGGAGAACTGGAACCTAAAAAAAGGTTAGTCAACTGCAAAGATTTTAAAAATTATATATAAGGGCCCAATTACATAATATAATACAATTTTTAAAATCTTTGTTTAATAAATACATGTATCTTTTTATATATTTCATATATTAAGCTTTTATTGTTGGCCCTTCTTTTGCATTTGACGAACTTTTTTAGGTTCTGGATTCTAGGTTTTAGATTCAGTTCCCTCCCCCCTTTTTTTGTCCCAGTCTGAGAGAACTGGAACAGGCCCAAGGTCACCCAGCAGGCTCCACGTGGAGGAGGAGTGGGGAATCAAACCTGGTTCCCCGGATGAGAGTCAGCCGCTCTTTATTATACACGACACTGGCTCTCACATGGGGCCTGGAGATCTGGGATTACACAGCTGCTCTCCAGACAAGAGAGATCACTTCCCCTGAGGAAAATGGCTGCTTTGGAAGGTGAACCGTATGGCATTCGACTAGGGTTGCCAAGTCAGGCGTTGCGCCGCAGCGGGGGACTCCATAGAGTTTTCCCTCGGATGACCGTGGCCCCACCCCCAGCGTGCCCGGCGTGGTCGCGTCACTTCTGGGTGACGCCCATGTCGGGGTGGGGCTCCCCCCGGGGCCCGATCCACTGGCGGCAAGGAACAGACCTCTGGGGCGGGACTTGGCAAGCCTACATTCGACCCTGCTGAGGCCTCTCCCCTCCCACTCCCCTCAATCTCCGGGAATTTCCCGACCCGGAGCTGGCAATGTTACTTGTTGCCAGGCCCACAGTTAGGGCTGCTAGCTCTGGGTTGGGCAGTTCCTGGAGATTTCGGGGGTGAAGCCTGAGGAGGGGAGGTGGAGGTGGAAAGTCACAGAGCCCATCCTCCAAACGATCAATTTCCTCCAGAGGAACTGGTCTCTGTCGTCTGGAGATCAGTTGTCATCCTGCGATTCTCCAGGCCCTAATCTCCAGGCCCTACGTACAACCCCCGGCTCTGGGTTCAGACTGACTTCCTTAACGACTGGCCTGAAAGCAAAGGATGGTTTGGACACAGGGTTGCCAGCCTCCAGGTGGGGCCTGGAGATCTCCCGCTATTACAATTGATCTTCAGGCAAGAGACGTCAGTTCCCCCCGGGGAAAATGGTTACTTCGGAGGGCGAATTCTGTGGCATTGTGCTCTGAGGAGGCCTCTCCCCTCTCCAAACCCCGTCCTCCCAAGGCTCCACCCCCAAACTCTCCAGGTATTTCCTCAGTCAGACCTGGCAACCCTCGCTGGAGAATAATGCCGCGGCCCAAGAAGCTGAGCGTAAATCAAGGGAGACCCGTGTGCCTCCCCGCATTACAACTCCGCTCCCTTCTGCCCTGATTCCCACCCCTCAGCCTGCTGTTCTCGTAGCCCACTAAATCTGAGAAGGTGCTCATATTCAGCATCTGAAGCGCCGGCGTCTCCAGAGCCTCTGAAGTGCGGCTTTGCGTTCTTTTATCATCTTATTGTCGTGCCCAGGGGTCTTGTTGTAGAAAAAGAGCTGCCGGAGCTCATTAGCATAACTCATTAGCATAACTTATTTGCATATGCCACGCCCCCTGACATCACCGGAAGTGACAGAAGGCCACACCCCCTGACATCACCGGAAGTGTGTCAGAAGGCCCGGCTACTTACCCTCCTGCTTCATCCTCATTCCCAAACGGAATGAGGATCGAAGCAGAGGGCGGGGTAAAGAAGGGGGCGGGGCTTCACCACGTGACCGCCCCGCCCCCTAGAGGTTCTCTTCCGGAGCTCCGTACCTGAGAGCTCCCCCCCGACTAGAGCCCTGGTCGTGCCAGATATCAAATAGTATCACTTTAATATTGTAAGGAAAGAAGATTTTATTATTTTTAAGATTTCCTCATAAATTTCCCTCCAGAAAAACTGAATGACTGGACATCCCCACCAGATATGAAAGGAAGTACCTTTCATTTTACATTTCCTCCAGCAGTTCGGGCTAATATATTCTGTTAAGCTTAGATGGAGTTAAATACCAGTTCGAAAACATTTTAAAATATTGGTATCTAATGCACAGTATTCTTGATGTATTTGAAGAGAGGTCCAAATTTCTTCCCAATCTGATTCAGTTAGTTCTATTGACATCTCTTAACATACCTTGGTATTGGAGCATTACAAATATCCACCAAATAACTTAAACTTTTTTTTTAAAAAAAATGGAAGTGTTTTCAGTTCACATTTATGTCATATATGGAGACCCCATAGGGTTTTCAACATTCAGAGGTGGTTTGCCATCACCTGCCTCTGCATTACGACCCTGTTATTCCTGGGATTTCTCCCATCCCAATACTAATTAAATTAATTAATTATCGTATGGCAGCGTGTGTAGTATAGCCAGGAGATCCTAAGATTGTCTGGCAGCCAGAAGTTCAAGCTCTTTTTAGCCTTATGCACTACTAGGTGACAAGCTAGACTTGTTTTTAAGGCAAGAGACATTTAAAAGGTGATTTGCCATTGCCTGCCTCTGCATCACGCCCCTGGGATTCCTTGGAGGTCGCCTATCCAAATACTAGCCAGGGCTCTTCTTTGCGCTTTGGAATTACCGTCGTTTAAAATGTCTTCAACGCTTCTGATCATGCTGCTCCCCCCCCCACCGCCATTTTTACCGAGCAGTCTTTCTTGCAGTTTTTAATGTTCTAAGTTAAGCACTATAGCACTAGACCAAAACAGCACTTTGGTGCTGCAGTGGGACCACTGAGATGCCTGCAGCTGTTGTTACATGGGTGACAACAGCACCAGAGTGCTGTTTTGATCTAGCGCTATAGCGCTAGACTTTGAACATTAAGAAAAAAACCCTGAAATAAAGCCCAAGCAGCAAAAAAGGATGGGAGAAAAAAACCTGGCGCTGCTTGAAATGGCCAGAGTGCTTCAGAAATACTTAAACAAATCAAAACTATGATGGGAATTGACCCTTCCCTTACCACGGATCACATATTCTTTAACAGATGGAACCCTAGAGATTACTCTTCTTCCCTCTCTGACGCCATTTCAGTTCTTTTATTCACTGCTAAAACTGCCTCATGCTGGAAAAGTAAATGAATCCTAGGTTTATCACTATGGCACCAAAAATTACGGGAGCAATCTATTTGGGCAAAAAT